TTCCGGGACCTGTACGCCCTGCATGCCCAAGCTGGCTAGGCACGGTCCCCCGTGTGTCAGGCAGAGCTGGGGTCACCTCTGACTCCATGCAGAGCCCGCCGGGGCTTGGTCATGGCTGCAGCTCACCTCGTCGGCTGGGTGTGCTCAGGTAGCCTTCGCTCCCCAGGTGCCCCTGGGCCCCGAGTGCTCTCGAGCTGTCATGAAGCTGGTCTACTGTGCCCACTGCCTGGGGGTCCCTGGTGCCCGGCCCTGCCCCGACTATTGCCGAAACGTGCTTAAGGGCTGCCTGGCCAACCAGGCAGACCTGGACGCCGAATGGAGGAACCTTCTAGGTGAGCCCCTGCCTGGCCTTGGGAGCTCTCCACTGTGGACCTGGGAGGCAGGTGGTCCCTGCTCAGTAGGGAGACCCAGGGCCAGATCTGGGTGGGAGTGTGGGGTTGAGTGTTCCGATTGGTATGTGACCTGGGGGAACACTGTGGGATCCTAGTTCCTTGTCCTGCCCCACTGAGCAGCCTCCAGCACATGCATGAGCTACGTACAGGCTCTGACACGTGGGAGCTGGCACACACACAGGCCGGCAGGTACGTGTGCTGTCACGTGTGTCTATACACCCACGTGCTGCCGTCGGTGGGTGACCCAGGATGCCCATGTCCCTCTGCTGGCATGTGAGTCAGCACACACACCAACACACGTCAGCCTGCAAGAGCAAGGCGGGCGTCAAGTGGGTGGGAAAGGTGCCCACACCGTGGGCATCACACGCAGTGCCCGCGCGTACGTGCCGACGCCTGTGACGTCACGGTGTGAGACAGAAACTTACCAAACGTGTAAGCTCTCAGTGCACACGGCCTGCACAGGTGGGCGCGTGTGGATGAGGTGGGCCCAAGGACCACAGATGTCCTCTGTTGGCATGAGCTTGTGCCCTGGGTGGGCTGTGGGTGTGTGCCTGCCGAGTGCTGGGCCCCCACGGGGAGCAAGCCCCTGGAGCCCTGCTGTGGACCCGCACTGACCCCTGCCTGGCGTGTCTGTGCGGGTCAACGTCTGTCCAGACTCCATGGTGCTCGTCACCGACAAGTTCTGGGGCCCGTCGGGAGCAGAGAGCGTCATCGGCAGTGTGCACATGTGGCTAGCAGAGGCCATCAACGCCCTCCAGGACAACAAGGACACACTGACGGCCAAGGTTCGGGCAGGGGCAACCAAGAGCATGGGGGGGGGGGCGTTGCTGCTGTGGCCCACCTGGGCCCGAGAGTCCCTGCTGGCCTCCAGGACCTCTGTGGTGTCTATAGGTCATCCAGGGCTGCGGGAACCCCAGGGTCAACCCCCAGGGCCCTGGGCCTGAGGAGAAGCGGCGCCGGGGCAAGCTGACCTTGCAGGAGCAGTCCCCGACAGGCACGCTGGAGAAGCTGGTGAGCGGCCGCGCCCCTGCCCTGAGTGTGGGGAGGGCAGGGTGGCTGCAGGCTGCCCAGTGACCTGACTGCTGCCTGGCAGGTCTCCGAGGCCAAGGCCCAGCTCCGAGACATACAGGACTTCTGGATCAGCCTCCCAGGGACGCTGTGCACTGAGAAGATGGCCATGAGCTCTGCCAGTGATGACCGTTGCTGGAACGGGATGGCCAAGGGCCGGTGGGTGCGGCCTCGCTGGCCGTGTCCTGCATGTGGCTTGCAGCAGTACACAGGAAGGGGGGCGGGGGGGGGGGGCACGCCTTTGCCCAGACACTTGAGGGTCGAGACCCCACACTAGGGCTGTGTGGCTGCCACTGGCCCCTGGAGGGCCGCTGGGTGCCTCCAGCTGGGGGTCTTGGGCCTGGGGGGGGCAGTGGGAGCGTGTTCTGCTGGCACGGGCCCCTTTGCAAGATGCAGTGACGGGGGCTTTGCCTGATCTGCCTCAGGTACCTACCCGAAGTCATGGGTGACGGCCTGGCCAACCAGATCAACAACCCCGAGGTGGAGGTGGACATCACCAAGCCAGACATGACCATCCGGCAGCAGATCATGCAGCTGAAGATCATGACCAACCGCCTGCGTGGGGCCTACAGTGGCAGTGACGTGGACTTCCAGGACGCCAGTGAGGGTCCCGGCCCTGACGGTGGGGCTGGGCGCTGGTAACCAGGGGTCCCAAGGGCTGTGAGGGTCTGCTGCTGGGCGGGGACACCACGCCTGTGTCCCTGCAGCGGCTGAGGCCCGGCAAACCCAGGAGGGCCAGTAGCACTGGACCACAGCAGTCACACTGGACCTGGGCCACACCGAGAGCCACCGGGTCCCTGGACACGGGGTCTCTGGGTAGGGGCGGCTGCTGGAGTCCCCTCTCCTCCCCAGGTGATGACGGCAGTGGCTCAGGCAGCGGCGGTGGCTGCCCTGACGACATCTGCGGCCGGAGGGTCAGCAAGAAAAGCTCCAGCTCCCGCACGCCCTTGACCCACGCACTCCCCGGCCTGTCCGAGCGAGAGGGGCAGAAGACCTCGGCCGCTGGCCGCCCCCAGCCCCATGCCCTGCTCCTGCTCCTGGTTCTCGCGGCAGCCAGGCCCCGGTGGCGGTAACTGCCACGGCCCAGGGACGAGGCCAAGGACAGACTTTGCCAAAACGCAAAACAGGATATTTAATTCCCCTTGGCCTGCAGAGGCCCAGGGTAGGACGAGGGGACAGTGGCTCTGTGTGCTGGGCAGGGTGCGTGGGGCCCCAGCACCCAGGCCTGGCCTCACCTGCCACCCTGGCTTTTAATTTTGTATGAGGTCCTCAGGTCAGCTGGGAGCCAGTGTCCCCAAAAGCCATGTATTTCAGGGACCTCAGGGACATCTCTGGCTGCCCACACCCCCCCCACCCCTCCCAAGGCCCATGGAGGAGGTGACCCTTAGCGACGTCCTGCTGGAGACCTCGAGCGAGCCTGTGCCTTCCTCGCTGCCTTCTGCCGGGGACTCTCTGCTGGACCTCCCTGGCTTCACATCAGCAAGGCCCAGCCCTCCGCACCCCCAGGGTGTCGGGGGCCCCTGACCATGCTCTGGCAGGGCCTCTGAGCTCATGCATGATGCCTCCCACCCAGTGGGGCTCTGAAGCCAGGGCCCACTCTCCCTGTGTCGCCTCAGAGTCCCAGTGGCCGCAGGCCACCCTGGGGGCCGTGCCAGCACAGCCATACCCCAGCTCTGCTATGTTGACCTTTTGCTCGTGGGTGGGGTGCTGTCCCCACCACCCAGGGAAGCAGAGCGCCTGCCCCTCACTTGTGCTCACATACGCAGGCCTTCTGGGGCCAGGTCTGCAAGAGGAACCCCACTTCTGGGGAGTAGCCAGCCATTCCTACCCCACCCCACCCAGACAGGATGGCCCTGGGGCCGCGGGCCAGGGCAGCAGGGGCAGGGGCAGGCATAGCCTGACAGTCGAGGGCTTCTCCAGCACATGCACATTCAAACACTTCCTTCCCTGCCCCGAGACCTGCACCTCAGTCCTCCTGAAGCGTTGGAGGTCCTGGAGCCCGGCTTGGACCCTGGGGCCCTTCAGTGGCCCTGGACTGAGTGTGCCCAGCTCACTGAGGGCATCGGGCCCTCGGGCATGGGCAAGTCCTCCCCGTCTCCAGGCCCAGAAGCCAGCAAGCCCTGGAGCAGGGACTGGCGTCCTATAAGAGGGGCCCCTGCACGGCGAAGGACGACAGGGGGCGGACACCGAGTTGCCACAGCCAGGGACAGTCGTTCCGACCCACACGGGCCTTGAGAAGGTCACTCAGTGCTTCTTTGATCTCTGCTGCTGGGCCGGGGGGTCTTCCCACCTGCACAGCGGGGGAGGCTGTGGGTGCTGGTCCAGCCCCTTGGCACAGGGTGGGAGACTCAAGCTGGTCCTTGGACGTGTTGGGTCAGGCCCTTGGGACCCCTGCCCTGTAAGAGCCCCGTAAGTGCCATGCAGGCTGAGGTGGCTGGAGCCGACCCAAGCCCTGGGACAGAGGACCCAGTCCTGGGAGGCAGCAGTGACACTGCCCGTGATGGCCAGGGGTGACACCCCGCACTGCCCCACATGCTTCTCCGGAAGGGGCAACCCTGAGCAGCCACTGGTCAGGGCAGTGGCCCAGCCTGCTGTGTCCTTCCTCATGAGGCCCCTGGTCACTCAGTGCCAGCAGGTCACCAGGTCACATGTGTCGAGTCCTTGTATGAATAAAAGGCTGGAGACCCACACAGGACAAAGCCTCATGTGTTGCTCTGAGCCTGCCTCGTGCCACCCAGCAGAGCGCGTGTGAGCTGGCGCCCGTGCGTGCACGGCAGGACGTGGGTCAGGCTCTGGTGGGAGGGGGGCCCCATGCTGCCGTGGGCCACTGCATTGCCAGGCCCTGGCCAGACCCCCATCTTTGGCTGAGCACCCTTTGTGGGGTGTGGGTGGGAGAGGCCAGAACTGGGCTCCAGATGACCTAGGCAGGCCCCACCCACCTTGCACCTCTGCCCACCCCCTCTGGGTGTGCAATGCAGTCCTCTAACCCTTAGCAGGTCCCAGTTCCTGCCAGGTGGCCTCACTGTCCAGTGGGGTGTTCTGATGGTTCAGTCTGTCCCTTGCTCCCCAGGCATGGGGTCCTGTGTAGTCCTGAAGGCCGCAGCTGCCAGCCCACCCCTGCTTGGGGGTTGCCTTGTTCCTGTCGGTCCCCTGGCCCTGGCTCCTTGGCTGAGAAGCCACCTCAGAGGCACTCAAAAGAAGCACCACTCTCCAGCACATGCCACCAACAGGGTACTTTATGTGAGCACCGCAGCCTGCCTGGTCTTCCTGGGAGACGGTGCTCATGTTCCTGACGTGGCCCTGGAGCCCAGAGGCCAGACCTGTGTGAGCAAGCAGGACCCCTGCTCTGGAGGACCAGGCACTGAGGCACACTCCACACACCTCCCAGAGAGGGCATCTCCTGGCACAGGCCTCTGGAGACACTGACAGCGGCCAGGTCTGTGGTGGGCTGTCCCTCATCCACCGGCCCTCAAGTCCTGGGAAGCCCAGGCAGCCCAGCTGCTCCCTTGGGATACAGGTGGTGGTGAAGTCCTCTTCCCTCTCCTGGCAGCAGGAGAAGCAGCCTCGGGGCTGAGCGGAGCCTGCGCAGACCGTGGGCAGCCGAGGCTCACTGGTGTTTGCAGACAGGACTGCTGTATTTCATCCGGCCGGGCGGTGTCAGGGTCTGGGCCTTTGGAAACATCACCCTCTTCGGCTGCTCTGTGATTGGGGGTGAGTATGTCCTCACTGTGAGAGAAAGAAGAGCCCAGATGGGATGGACACCTAGTGCAGGGCCACAGACGGGAGGGGGCCACCTCAGCCGGACTCATCAGGCTCTACCCTGGTGTCCCCAGAGGCTGACCAGGAAGAGGCCCCCAGGCCCTCTCCATCCCTCATGGGATTTCAGGGAGCCACGACATCCTGACCAGCCCACGCTGACAGCTAGAGAGTGGCCAGCTCCTCAGCTGCTCCCCGAGCGCCCCGCACCACCTGAAGGCCATCCTGACAGGCCAGGTGGTGTCTATGATGGACACGTGCAGGCACTCGTGCCCGGGTACACACACACCCACACGCACATGTCAGTGAAACGCCAGGTGCATATAAAGCACTGGAACACATCCACGTCCACGTGCACACCCCTATGCTTGCACATACCCACACACAGCATGGGCACACGCACACACACCCTCGTACATGCTTGACCACGCATCCATGCAAACACACTCATCACACCCCAGTGCACACATGCACGTAACACACTGCTCCCTCCAGGCCCTCAGCATGCGTCCCACCCGGGGACAGGCCCTCCATGGAGCAACATCACTGTGACCCAAGTGCTCCCCACATCCAGATGGAGGCTGATTCCCCTCTGCACCCACCTTCTCCCACCTTGTGTCACAACTGAAATCATGGGAGGGTCACAAGGGCTTCTACCCTGCGGGAAACTGAGGACAGATGACAGGGTACATGTCAGAGCCATCAGAGAGGGGGGCAGGCTGGGAAAGGAGATCCTGGGCACATAACAGGTACCAAGGCTGGAGCCTGCCGAGGAGGGCCTCACTGACTCGGGGACGGTGGGGAGGCCGGGGAGGTCACTGCCCAGCAGGCTGTCCCTTCTATGCAGGGACACCTCCCGGGCAAGAACCCCCGCCCCCAATACAGGAACAAATGAATCACTCAGCCCACAAAGTGAGACTCCAGTGAATCTCAACATTTCCCTCCTTTGATGTGGCCTCAAGTATGAGCAGAACCCCCGATTTCCAGCACAAGCCCGTTTCCACCCCCAGACTGGGCAGGACAGAAACAGGCCAGCGGAGATCTCACAGGGGGTCTCAACACGCCGCATCACAGACACGGAGGAAGGGCCAGGCAAGGTCTAGTTGGACCCGGTGGCGACAACACAGTAGGCTGCTAAAATAAACCCCCTCCTCACACACAGAATGCTGGGGAAAATGCCCTTTTCACAACATCAGTACACTCTAAGCTCCCAGAGGAGCTCAACCCTGTGTGCTCAAAAGGAAGTGGAGAACTGAGAAGCCACGGTGAGCATCACAGTAAACATCAAGCTGGGGGGGGGATGCGTGAGGCTGGAAAGGGGACCCCAGGGGGCCCAGACGCCTCAGAGCAACAAGAAAGTCCTCCCTGGTGCTTAGTAAGGCCAAGGGGTTGTATGCTGCCCAGGGTTTCAGGTGGAAAAGAAGTGTCCCCATAAAGAGTCAGTGCCTGGGGACGATGGAAAATGAGGGAATGTGGAAGAGTCTGGAGGTTTCACCCACTGGAAGCGGGGGGCTGCAGAGAAAGAATGCCAAGCCCCAGGAACTGAGCACAGTGTCTTGAAATCACAACCCACCACAGCAGCCACCCCAGGTCCGGCACCGGAACTTCAGACAGGGGCAGCCGAAGTGGTCTGCAAGTCAGGGTTTGTGTGGCCAGAGAGAAAAGGAGGAGAAATAGAAGCCACAAAGGGCAGATCTGTGGGAGCCTACGAACACGGGACTGTCGACGTCCCCCAGGGAGGGACACTGGCTCAGGGGCCTGCGGGCAGGAGGAAAGCGGCCCCACTGCCAGGAAACTAGCCACGTTCCGTGGGAATAGGAACATCCAGATTCATGGCGCTCAAAGGACTCCAAGCAAGATCAGCCCCATGAGGGACGTCCTGAGACACGTCATGATCAAGGAGAAGCAGCACCGCAGGCAGGAAGGGGCTTCTCCGTCCGGGAACCGGGGGGCCGACGTGGCAGGTGGAGGGGGTGGGACAGCATGTTCGAGTTCTGAAAGGGAAAAGTAACTGCCAAACAGGAAACAGGAAGCCCTACCTGGCCGAGCTGCTCCTCAGAAACGAACGAGAGAGAAAATGTTCCCAGACATGAGATGGGGTGCCCTCCCTGTGACTCCTGACTTACAAGGAATCCCAAATGCCGTTCTTCACACTGAAATCACGCTGAGTGACATGAATCTGCGTCACTATCGACGCACATATGTGGTCAGAGTCAGAGTGCGTCACGCAGCAGTGAAGGAACATAGAATAACTAGAGTGAAACAAGAACACTAGAGCTACGGTGTGTCCTCAGGGAAACACCATTTTATAAAAAATATAAAGTGACATCGATCGTATAAAGGGTTGGGGTGGGGAGTGGACGTGTGGAGTTTTGCATGCAATTAAAGAGTTATCAGTTTAAAATAGAATTTAGTGGCTGTAAGGTAGTTTATTTTTTATTATTAATAGGTGAGACCCTCACAAAGGAAAAAATTCTAAGAGATACAAAAAAAAAAAAAAAAGAGGGAAAGGGATAAAAGTGCAACACTACAAAAGATCAACGAAGACCCAGGAAGAGAGGAGGAAGGGACGGCAGGGACTGCAGCATAGTCAGAGGACACCAAGGGCAGAGTCGGGTCTTCCTATCAGTGATGAGCAAGTGGCCGGATCCCCACCCACAGGTACAGAGTGGCTGAAGGCCTCTCCTTAAAGGACCCAAGTGCACACGGCCTTCAAGACTCCTGCACCTTGAGGACAGACAGGGAGGAAACACAGCCAAGGGGCAGCCCGGGCGGCTCCACTCACATCAGTTAAAACAGGTTTCAGCCCAAGTCACAGGAAGGGCGACAGTGATTCCCGGAGGTCAGTCCATCAAGAGGACACAGTGTGACTAGAGGTGCACCAACACGGAGCACCTACATACAAAGAGCAGGTAGTAACAGAGCCAAAGGGAGAAGCAGGCCCACGGCATGGAGTGGGGAGCTTCAGCCCTGGGCAAGCCCTGGTTCAGTCCTGGGTACAGGAAAAAAAACACAGATGATCCAGAGAGAAAATCCACAGGGAAACAGAACACTTGAAACCAGACGGACCTACAGACACATAGAGAATGACGTTTCCCCCAACAACAGAAAGAATGCTCTTCTCCAGCCCACACGGGACATTCTTCAGGACAGGTCGTGTCTTCGGCCACAAAATGAGTCCTGACAAGTGTGATACTGAAACCACAGCAGGTACCTTTTCCAACACAAAGCAATCAACCAATAACACAGGGGATTTGGGGAAATTCACAAATATGCAGAAGTTAACACACTCCTGAATAACCAATGGACCGAAGAAGAAACTTAAAAGGGAATTTTAAAGAGAATCTTGAGACCAGTGCAAATGTAAACTCAACTTCCCAAACCTGAGCGGATACAGGTGCAAAGACACTTCTAAAAGAGAAACCCTTAGTGATAAATGCCTACACTAAGAGAGATCTCCAACAGCCCGGCTTCACATCTCAAGGAACAGACCAGAACAAGACAAGCCGAGAGAGCAGGAAGACGGGATGTCAACATCAGAGCAGAAATAAATGAAACAGAGACTGGAAAGATGACAGCAATATCAATGAAACCAGGAGTTAATGTTGTGAAAAGACAGAATTAACAAGTCTTTCAGCTCTTTACCAATAAGTAGAGTTATAAATGTAGGAGGAGACATTACAAAGGATGCCCCAGGGACAGAAAGGACCCTAAGGGACTGCTGTAAAGAATCTCACGGGACCAACTGGATGACCTAGAAGAGAAGGAAAAGTCCGTCTACCAAGACCGTGCGGTGGAGAAACGAAAGGCGGGCAGACCAGTAACGAGGAAGGATGCGGAAGGGCCACCGCAGACATCCCCGCCAGGAAACCCCGGACGGGCGGACGACTCAGGAATCCATACCAACCTCCTCAAGCCCACGAGGAAGGCACACTCACAACTCACCTTCCTCGGCCACATCACCCACACACCACAGATGGGGCATGACAAGCCCCACAGACCGCGTCCCGGGGAGTAGGGAGGTGGAGGTGGCCTCAGCACAACACCAGCCACAGAGGACAAGTCAGAATCACTCAGCGGTGGAGAGCTGAAAGCCCGTCCGCCCAGAGGAGGGAAAAGGTGCCCACGCTCAGCTCCTCTGGTCGACCTACTGCTGGAAGTCCTTCCAGAGCCATTAGACAAGGAAAAAAGTGAGACTTGAGATCAGAAAGGAAGAAGTCGTCTCTGTTTGCACAGACATGATCTTGTGTATTTCCCTAAAGATGCACCAAAGAACGGTCAGTTAGTAAAGTTCCAGGAAACAGAAACATCCTAACTCGATTGAGGTTCTCCAGATTAACAATGAACTATCTGAAAAAGAAACTAAGGACATAATCCCATTTGCAATAGCATTAAAAATAAAATATTCAGGAATAAATCTAGCTAAGGAGGTGAAAGATCTACAAACTGAAAGTTAGAAAATTGAAAATACAAATAAATGGAAGGACAGTTCATGTTTTTGATTGGAAAAATTTATACTGATAAAATAGCCATACTTGCCAAAACAATCTCCAGATCAAAGCAAAGATGAATAAGTGGGACTACATCAGACCCAAAAGCTTCTGCACAGAAAATTAAATAACCAACAAGCGAAAGGCAATCTGTGGGTGGGCAGGAACACTTGGGGACAATGTCTCTGATAAGGGGTGAATATCCTAAATACATAAGAAACTTATACAACTTGGTAATAAAAAGACAACCTGAGGCTGGGCTGTAGCTCAGTGGGAGAGCGCTTGCCTACATGCCTGAGGCACTGGGTTCGAGTCTCAACACACATACAAATGAAGTCCACGACAACTAAAACAAACAAACAAAAGAAACCTGATGTGAAAATGGACGAAGGCGCTCCACAGCCACTTCTTTAGGATGGCCACTGCCAAAAAGATAGAGAGCAAGCTCGGGGAGAGTTGGAGCTAGGACTGTGTGTGTGT